TGCATTAGTGAAGTTCTGTTTCCCCTAATTCATGCTTTTGTCTGTCGCACTTCAAGAGTTATCGATCGATGTCTCAGGGACTAATAATCATAAAAAAAGACAGCGTTGGATAATGATGATATTCATTTGATTAAAATATTGGATTTAATGTAACCTTGGAAACCACGAACAAGCAGTGATTATCTACAAACGAAAACTTCGCGAACGGTTGTCAGTTCTTTATTGTAGAGCTGCTGCTTGACACCAGTCGAGTTTCACGCCTTTTCTGATCCTTGAACCAACCGTTTCGTGTTCTCCATGTACACGCAGTCGAAGTTCTGTGACGAAGAAAAGGCAGGAAGGGATGCAGTTTCTGGTGGTACGGTAGATAATTATTTGCATATGTGACAATGCACCGTAATCCTCGATTTTCAGTCGACGCTTGGGAGAACACGCCGGACGGATCAGATTTTCTGTCCCATTTCTCGCTGAGAGAAAAGGAACTCTTATCCGTTTCCATGAAAAAGCTAGAACAGTTAGAAGAGGACAACGCGGTGAAAATTTTCATCAGGTGTGCAAATCAACTTTTGATGCAGCAACACATAATACTAACCTTAGCAACCAATTTTTCAATGAAAATGAGGCTAAAGTAAAAGATTAGGTCAGGTTGAGGTACATGGCTGTGAATGCTTCTGATGCTCTTTCGTCATAGCCGGGGGAGCTTGTTGTAAACTTTTAAATTGGAGGTTGATGAGGCTATGATAAACTGACGGAACTTCTTGCGCCTGTCAAAGAATTTCCATTTTAGAGAAGATAAACACTGATAATAAATGCAGGACGAAGGATTAGAGTCTGTTAATCCGCAAAGATAAGTTCATTGATAGAAACGAATTTTTGCATTTAATAAATATTATGCTTTTCCATATTGAGAAGTCATATTTGGAGTGATTTAATAATGTGTCTTGCGAATGCTTCCAGAAAGGAAGGCAAAACAGTAATACTCTCTAAACCGATCAGGGAAACATTCTGGGAAGGCCAAGAATCAGCTGGAGAGACTGTCTCGACAGGCTCTGCTCCAGGCTCAGGTAAGCTTCTGCCGATGCCCAGACGCCAGCAGAAAATCTGGAACATGGGAAACACTGTCTGACAAATCTATCTCCGCAATCCGAAAGGACAAACGGTTATCATAACTAACTGAATGAATGAGTTAAATTTATTGTCGAAAATTGGGTCGTCAAAGACTCCCGGTTTCAGGGAAATAACTTGGACTTGAAGGACGCTATGACCATCATTGAATACAAAATTTCACTTGGTCTAATAAGGCAATGGCTGTAATAAACAAGACGACTAAAAGCCCGTTTGCTGGGATAAACGGGAAAGAAAGGAAATATCTGTCACACTGAGCAAATTTAAGTAATGCAGCTTAACGTCACTGGGATTCCGGTGAATTCACGCAGATGCAGGGATGATGGACTTCTGGTTGAACTCTTTCCTGACAAACGCATTCATACACCTAGATCTAGTGGATAGGATGCGTAGGAGGCATCGGGAAAGCTTGTCCTGCAACGGGTGGTTGCTATTATCGAGGATATGTTGCGCCAAGAGTGTACACACTCCTGAGCAGATCATTATGTTGAAGTCCACACATTCTGGAGATCTGCTCCAAAGAGCGCCTCAAAGATTTGAAGTGACCTGCTTGCAGGTCAGCAAAAATGGCCCATGATGCATAAGCATTGAGTGATAGAATGCAAGCCAATAGAAACTTCCTAATAGAATCGTGCGGGAAATGGAGGATTCTAGGTCGTTTTACATAAAATGAACGGGAGCGCTTGATGACGAGTCATGTCTAGTCACGAGTGCTTGCACATATGTATGGCACAAGGTGAGGTGTGAGGAAAACGTAACACCAAAATGCTTAACCACTTGAATTGTGCATAGTAACAGTTGTTAGCATGCAGGGTTTTAGGTGATTGACATAACAGTGTTTAGTTCCTCGTGTTCCACATCGCACAGATCGACTCGATAGTATTCGACGCAGTACAATTAGAGTACAATTTGCTTAAAAGACTGAACTGTGCTGCCGATGCTATGCTTGTAAAGTCCTAAGTTTTCTGATGATTTCAAGGACCCTGCCACCACATTATCTTTGGTTTACTTCACGCATTGTAATGGAGGGCAAGCCACACTGTCATTTGTGTATGTATTTAAAAGCAGTGGTGAAAGGAAGGATCCCTGAACCATGCCAAGATTATCTGGCAGTACACCGGACTTCTTCCTGCCAGTCTTAACAAACTGATGGCCTCGAGGGAAGCAGTTTGTGAACCATCGAATGTTCTAAGCGTTTGAAGATTAAAGACGCTGTGGCTATAAGACGGCATCCAGCAGAATCTTTAGTTGTTGTTCCTTTCTTCGTCATTGGAACGAAGGACGAGAGTTTTAGGAGTCAGTAAGTGGCACGGAAACAATTAAACACATCATTCAGCATATTGCCTAATTCGACTGAACATCATCTTGGCATCCGTGGACTGAACTTGTCAGGTTCTGGTGAGATTTATGACAAAAGAAGAGCGAATCGCTTTTGAGTTGACGAAACTTGAATGGGTGGATTGTCGTTGACAGAAAAGTTGCTGCCGACTCTTAGGTCTTTTGGAATCGAAAAAATATCCATTAATGCAGGCAGGACCAGCTTGAAACGCTGAAGCATGTTTAACCGTGCTGCAAAGAGACTGTTTGTTCCTCCACAAATTTTTTGTTCTTCTGTGAAACAGGCCCACCGTAAAGTCATTTTAGCTGAGCGATGTCACTTTGATCTTTACAGAAAGTAAACGACACAGCATACCCTTTCAGCTCTTGTTGGCCCGTTGTTGCTGTCGACGAAGACGTCGAAGCAATTGCAAAGTGATACGGCATTTGGTAGGCAAAATAGAATGAAAATATCATCAGAATTTTATCGCTGTCATTACTGCTATCTTAGTAGAGTTGATATGGTTATATAGTTATACTAACAGCTGAAGCTAACCGATTTAATAAATGCTAACTGAG